GCTAGATGAGATTATTATGGAGTGGCAAAATTTGGAAAATACAAAAAAAAAAGAAGGATAATCATTCGTCTCTATGTGCGTTTGTGTTACACGAAGTTTCTTGACACTTGAGAAAGAGATAAAAGAAAGCAAGTTGTGCAAGTGGACTTACCACGACAAGACTTTGCGTTGTTTGGGTCCTACTTCCTTGTACCACTTGACGCGCATCTTCTTAGATTTAAATTTTCCTAAGGTACTAAATGGTGACACTTCAAACAAATTCTGTTAAATTTAATTAGATTAAGCAATTTCGCAGTTATTATTTATAATATAAATTTTTTTTTATTATATTCAACTAGATCTAGTAATTCAGCAAAAAATATATTACAAAATTTAGGTGAATTCAGCTAGATTCAATAAACTTTTCCAATACCAAATGATGTATAAATATGTTTATTTTGGATAATAGATTGGATAAGAGCAGATATTTGAGTTAGAAAATACATCAAAGATATATATATATATTTAAAATGAATTGGATAATATGAATATAATATATATGATTTCGAATATTTAAAATTATTATCAAACAAGTAAAGATTTTATCATATTAGGATATTATATGTAATTACAAATAATTTTAGATAATTTATAGATATTTTTTTTTGAAAAAATTAAAACAATTATTGTAATTTTAGAACTTTTAGATAATTTAATAGTTTTATTACTTTAAAACAAATTTCTTGTTCATGTATTTTAAGTTTATTTTTTTGGTATGGTTCGATTCGATATTTTCGTAATTGTTTGTACTATTATAATTTAATGAAAACTATAAGAATGTTTTTCTGAATAGAAAATTCAACAATTAGCGTAAATTTTATTGAAACAAAACTTTGGATTAATTTATTCTATTTTGAAGATAAATTCATCTTTAATTTTTTTTTAATTGCAATTTTTCTCGTTAAATTATGTTGTTATTTTATGTTTGCTAAAATTATTAAATTTAAATGTAAAATTTAATATTTATTAGTTTATTTAACTAATAAAATTATTTAACTAACTTTTATAGGTTATATAAATATTAATTTAAAAAAAAAAAGCCAGATTCAGCTAGATTCAAATGTTACCTTTATATTTTAAAATATTCTGTCAGATTCTGTAAGAAATCGCTTAAAATTCAGCCAGATTCTAATGTTACCTTTTGACCCTAAATTTGCATATCAATTCTCCTACATTAAATTGCCCTTTCTCTCTAATCATCTTTTAAAAAACAAATTAGTTTCTTTTTCTGTTATGCTTTTCTCAAATTATATTGGGGAGAAATTGAATATGGATA